CTCAATGCTGCCACAGTGATGTGCAGATGGTCAGAGCAGAGGGGGGTTTCCATTGTTCAATCAAGTGTGAAGCAAATATTGCCATAATTAATGATGAAAGTTACTGAAGATAGGCAGCACTGACATGTCTATATTCACCAATACTATATAAATTGTGCTGTGATCAAAACTGATGGAGATGTATGCATGTTTTTCCCTGGGCTCCTCACATGTATGATGCACCTGTGATCGGTTGTAAGGATTGTATTTCCCACCCTTAACCATATATGTAGCCTCATTATGGCATGTACTGATGGACTGGGAGTGTGAGGCTACACCCATGCTTAAACAAGCACACCAACATATTCAGTGGACACTCGCAGTTGTGGCACAAAAATCAAAGTTCATATTTATTATTATAGAAATGGGTGTTTTCCATTTTTAGCCTCTTATGGGCTCTGTGGAGTACAGTATCCCATGCCATGTAAATAGTTAGTATCCAACAACTATCATCACACAAAACCTGACCCAACCATGTTATTGTAAACCCAGCTCTCACAACCTCTGCCACATTATCTGTAGAATCATCCCTATGCTGACCCCCTATGCTGCATGCAAAACCAATGGAAATGGACCAATTCAGCCCCACAGTTCTAACATTTATACAGACTCCTGTTGTCAAAGACTGGATTCGAAAGGGAGGTATGACTCAGTGTTCAGAGGGCTTTGGCCTCAGCAACTCAAGCCAGGAGCACTGTGCCCAGTAGCATGTTGGGGCCCTAATTTGCAGATACATGGGAAGTCTAGGTGGAGGGCCCATAAATGGCAGGAACCAGGTGGAGCTGACATAACAGGGTCAAGGGTTAGTCAACTGAATATTACTGGCAACTTGGGTTACAGGTTTAACAGACAACAACCCAAAAGGAGAATGGAGAGGGCGGTCCAAAGGCAGACTTGCAGGGCAGGCAACTAAATGGCCCAACAGAGTCAGGGGTGTGCTTGTGGACATTGGAGCTGTCTGGAGGCCTTTGGGGTTCTGTACTTAGGGAGGTGTAAGTAATATATGGAAATGGGGGGGTGGTGACCATTGGGGGGCTCTGAGGTTGATATGAGTGGAGCAGAGGTAATCAGGGATGGCTGGAGGTGACAGAAGGTGGTGGTGGAGGATGGATATGACACCTGTGAAGACATATGTATAAAGGCTTTTGGTTGGGTCCCCATGGGTCTCTGAGTCCTACAATTTCATTCACTTGCTATAGTATTGTCAGGGCACCTCACCTAAACATACAACCCTGAAACCCCTCCCCCCAGTCCTCCCCATTTTTCCCTATTTTTCCAAGTGTATTTACAACCAGGAGCCCACATACAGACCCATGTGACACCCTTCCCCATGCTGTGGGAATGCACCTGGCTTCTGCCTGCAGTCACACTATAAACTGGCACAGTCCACTTCCTTTTATAGTAGCTTAGCAGGGATAAGGAAACTCACCCTTCTTCTTAACTCACTCCCCACTTAGCCCCCTCAGTGAGTTTGAGGAACTACAGGCAGGATCTAGTGCCCCACTGCCCAGAACACTGCACACACCCAACTCCGAGGTCAGGCTGCCCCTGAATGAGGGCTGAGTCCTGACAAGTATGTTGTTGTTCATGCACTGTCATGGACTTCTGTGGACCTCCATAAACATCCATGAACATTCATGGACATTCATGGACCCTTCTAATAATGCTCCCATGGGTATTCATGGGTATCCATGGGCATTCATGGTACCCATGGAATTTCATGGAAATTGGAAGATAATGTTGTACATGGGCTTTCATGGGCTTCCATGGGTGTTCATGGGCGTTCATGGCCCCCCATGAAAATCCATGGAAGCCCACGAAAGCCCACGAAAGCCCATGAAAGCCCATGGATATCCATGGAGCCCATGGGAGATATTACACTTTTCAGATGTTACTCCTTTGCCCTGCTGATCCTCTCGAGTGTTAAAAACCCCAGAGGTTGTGGAAGAAGGGGGTAAATGCGTGAGTCCGAATGCAGGCGGGGCTCAACTAGAGGGGGGTCCGAGGGCTCCGGTAGTGAACTGAAGCTTCTCAGGGAGCCCGGTTCTGCTGGATGGTACAAGAGGCTCTAAGAAGGACGCGGCCTCAGCGACTCGGAGGGAGCGCTGTGCCTCCGTTACGTCTCAGTTAGTCCTTGTATTTCTTATGTCTGAGGTGTCTTGTAGAACAGGGACAGGATTCACTCAGAGGGACTTTGGGTGGCATTTTTAGTCGAGATTAGAACTGAGGAACTACAGGTTCTAATCTACGTGTATTTATAAAGGAGGATGGGGAGGACTTTAGTCAAAGCCCGAAATGACAAAATGGGGAAAACACTGAAAGGTACCGAATGATACCGAGAGGTACCGAAAGGTTCCGAACAATATCTAAAATGGGGAACCGAGGTGTTGGGCCAAGGAGGGCGGAGTTGGAGGCCGGAAAATGAATGGGGAAGACAAATGGATAAAGGGGGTTAGCCGACTGAATGGTAGTAAGAAGGTAGTTGTGCTAAGAATGGGAGATGACTAATAAGTGATAACGTGAGGGAGATCACCGAAGGATGCGGGTAGCTCCGAAAGCGGAATTGCGTATCCGAAGGATGTTGGGTGACTCAAATAAATGAAATGGGTGGAGGAAGGGTTTAAGGGCATGTCACGGGATGTCGGAGGTCCGTCAGGATATCGGAGCAAATCCAGGATCTCCGAATGTTCCGACTCGGGACCGAGGTTCCGGGATGGGAGTGGCCAAGGTTCGGTGTGCCGCAACCAGACCGGAGCTGAGACAGTCAGGAGGGAAGGTGACTTGGAGAGTGGGGAGGCAAGGTGTAGGGGATGGTGAAGTTGTTAGGAAGGTGTGATGTGGTGGGAGTGCGCGGGGTCGGGATTCCGGGATATGACATCGAGGATAGTTATCCCTTCACCTTCCACCAAGACCACCTCTGCCATGTGGGGGGCCTCAAACCAAGCGGGTTGGAGGAGAGTCAGCCCATCGTTGTTGTCCTTGCCTTTTGGGTGGTCAGTGCAGCATGAGAGATGTCAGGTTTCCCCATGAGTTTCCCTGGGTGGTGGATAAGGGTGAAGTGGAATTGGGAGAGGAAGAGTGACCACTGTTCTTGGCACTGGTTCAGCCATTGTGCAGTGTGGAAATATCCTAGGTTGTGGTGGTCGGTGTAGATGTCGACTTTCTCCTCCACTCCTTGTAGGAAATGCCACCACTCCTCGAGGGCACGTACTATTGCAAGTATCTCCTTGTCGTATACCTTGTAGTTATGCTCTACATCTGTGAAACTCTTGGACATGAAGGCTATGGGGTGGAACTCTCCATCTCTTTGGAGCTGGGATAGGACTGCACCAGTTGCAAAGTTAGAGGTGTTGCACTTGAGTTTGAACTGGCCTGTATCGGCAGGGAAGCCGAGGACCAGGGCAGAGGTGATGGTGTCTTTGAGGGCACAGAATGCATGGTCTTCACCTGGTCCCCAGGCCCATGCCTTGGTTTTGCAAGTCAGCACATGGAGGGGGCAGGCTGTCTCGGAAAAGTCTTTGATAAACCGGCGATAGAAGTTGACAAACCCCAAGAAGGACTGTACTTCTTTGACCTTGGTTGGGGTTGGCCAATCGAGAACTCTGCAGACTTTCATGGGATCCATCATGATGCTTCCCTCGGAGATGATGAGGCCGAGGTACTCAATCCGCTTCTGCTCAAACTTACACTTCTCCCACTTCAAGAAGAGTCTCTGCTTCCGCAACATCTCCAGGACCTCTCAGATGACCCTCCGGTGCTCCTCCAGGGTGGTGGTGAAGATCAAGATGTTGTCCATGTAGCAGATGATGACCTCTTGATTGATGAAGTCTTGGAGAATGTCATTCATCATTGTCTGGAATGTTGCCAGGGAGTTACACAGGCTGAAGAACATGACAGTGGGCTTGAACAGTCCCCGGTTGGTCAAAAACGCTGCCTTCCACTCATCACCATCCTTGATGCAGATGTTGTTAAACCCCCAATGCAAATCTAGTGCCAAGAAGTACTTGGCATTTCGGAGGTGCACGAGGATGTCCAAAATGAGTGGGAGGGGGTATGAGATTTTGACCATGATCTTGTTGAGCTTCCGGTAATCTTGGACTAGGTGCAATGATCCATCCTTCTTCTTGACTGGCACTCCTATCAGGGACTTGGATGCCCATATGCACTCGTTCAGGTTCTCTTGCAGGAACTCATCTAGTTCCTTCTGCTCTGGTCATGACAGGGGGAAGTCCTCCCTCTCGGGAGTTTGGCATCCGGCACCAGGTCTATTGTGTGGTCCCAGGGCTTCCACAGGGGCAGCTGGTTGAAGGCCTCCTTCGAGAATACATCTTGGAAGTCCTCATACTGTTCTGGGACTAGTGCCTCAAATGGTGCAGGCTTCGCCTCTGGTTCATGGGCTTCCTGGGCCATCTGCTGAGATGGCATCATGGTCGCTCTTAGTTCATGTCCCCACCCTGGAGGGATGATAGCGGCATAAATCCCATCCCCAGGTTCCACTGCAGGGTCTGGGTCAGGGTGTCCTTGTGTCAACTGGCAGGAGGATGGGCAGCAGGACATAATGACCTTTTGCCACATCCAGTCCACCTCTGGGTTGTGGTGGAGCAGCCATGAGTGTCCTATGATGAGGGACTGCTGCCCAAGGTTCGCGATGGTGAAGCAGGCCCACTCTGTGTGCTGTCCAAATGTCAGGAGGGCCTCTAGTTCCTGTCAGGGACAGCTCCGAGGGCGAGGTCCCGGCATGCAGGGCTCGGTGGGATGAGTAGCAGCTGTGTGTAGCGGTGGTCCCATTGCAGGGTGAGCGTCCCTGACCACTTAGTCTGAAGTGGGAATGTGAGTTATCATTAAAAGGGGAGGCTACACTACTTGCCTGAAGTGGGAATGTGAGAAGAAGGCTACTTCTTCAGTTCCCACTCCAGCTGTTATTCTATACATGCAGGATCGATCACGTGGAGCATGCCATGTCACCGTTGCACACAGCCGTGGCTCTCCGGGTGCCTCTGCAGGAGATCCCAAGAGGGTCCGCTGTGGGTGCAGAGCGAGTGGAGCGGTGGTGGTGGTGATATAGGGATGGTAAGATACAGGAGGGGGAATGGGCATGCATGCCACTGATACATTGAACAGTGGGAAAGGTGGTCCATGTAAGAGAGAGAAAGAAAGAAAGAAAGAAGAAAGGAAAAGGGAAAGGAGGGAGAAGTGGGGAAGTGGAGCAGGGGTTGGGCGGGGCATGTTGGGGCATTCCCTGACAGTTCCTCAGTTATGGCCCCATTCTTGTTTGGGGTCCCATCAATGTTGCAGACAGGGATGGGTTGGGGGAGTGGGGTCATCTCGAGGCCGTGCTTTCTGACAAACTTGGGGCTTACAAAGTTCCCGGTGGCTCCCGAGTCTAGGAGTGCTGACACAGAGACAGTGGCGAGGGAGGTCAGGGTGGTCAGCTTTACAGCTAGGTTGAGGGATCTGGGGGGTTGCTTGGACAGCATGTAGATGGCAGGTGGCAGGACCGCTACCTCCAGCACTGCACTTGGTGTTTCTCTGCTCTTACTGATCGAGGATGCGGTTTTCCTCTTTTTCTTGGTGATGACTTGGTGGAATTTGGATGTCAGCACCGGCTTAGGTGCCTCATGGTGTCAGGGCACACACCCTGACTAGCCTGGACCCAGACCCGCATGTGTGCTCTGCCCTGCATGCTCTGTGCACCGCATGCTCTGGGCCCGGTTCCCACTCTTCATGTGACTTCTGGGTATCCCCGGAAGTTTTTGCCATATTGGGCCACTGTGGGAAAGTGAGAAGTTAACCTTCTTCTCACTTTCTTACCCACAGTAGGTTGTGCCTTAGGATAGGCTGTTTACACACAGGGCTGTGGGCTATAGAGAGAGGGGTCATGGGGACCCGGGGTCCATCCCCTGACACACGGTATCTACATGAGCTAGTACTATTGCCTACAGGTGGCCGGGATGTGTTCCTCACTGGTTGGCTTCCTGAAAATTCTTTTGGGCTTCTACCTCTTGCCCTTCTCTTCCATCCATCTCCGGCTCATCCACTAGCTGCCTTCTCAGCCCCTCCATGAGCACCCTGAGGTCCTCTGGGTGCATCCATCTGGCTTGGCGGATTTTCAGTTGCAGGCAGTCTTGCATGATGTGCCCCAGTGCATTGCAGTTGTAGCACAGCCCATTTCGTCTTTGGTCTATCCTCAAGCAGTCAAGGTCCATGGGTTGTGGCCCTCCCCCTGCTCCAGGGTGGGCTGCAGGAGGCGGCGGTGCAGGGACTGGGCATGCTTGCAGGAAGATGGTAGGGAGTGGGGGTCTCACAGGTGGGAGTTGGGGCCTGACTGGGGGCAAGTGGGGCTGCATTGCCTGGAAGCATCACCACTGGTTGTTGAGGAGGGTGGCCTTGTGTTTCCACTTGGCCCAGGTCGTTGGCATGGGGCAGAGGTGGTAGATGCTCTCTCGGAGCCAGGAGTTGATTGCCTGTTCGAAGTGGTCTACCAGCCCCATGTCTCCTAGCCATGAGGTGGGGCCGAGGATCTTGAACTCTTGGATGACCTTGTCCACAGAGTCGGTGCCTTGTCGCAGGGTGGCCAGCTTCTGCCTGGCCATGGCCTTGCGGTTCAGGTCTTGGAACATGGTGTCGAGTTCCATGTTGAACTCATCCATGGTGAGTCCAGGGGAGCCCATTGTCAACAGTGTGATGGTGTGCTGAATCGCTCACACCCCTGCAGTCCCTCCCTTCATGTAAGACAGGATGGAGAGGATTTGGGAGAGGGTGCCGGCGAACTCCGCCACCTGAACATGGAAGTATATGCTGCATTCAGCCCTGAAGTGGTCAAGGTCTTTGGTTGCTCCAGAGAAGGGGGTGGGGGGGGGGGGCAACTTTAGGCGGTTTGGGTCTGGGGGCAGGTGTGGGCACTGGTGGGGGTGCCAGTGCCAGCGCCAGTGTGGGTGCAGCTGGGGGTTGGTTCTGGGCTTGGCTCTCCATGGTGGCCTGGAGCTCTTGGAATCGGGACAGCAGCTTGTTGTACTGCTCTTCGGTCACCATAGCAGGGGAGATGGGGGAGGCAGGGGAAATGAGGTTAAAGCCTTCTTCTGCTGTCAGGGACAGCTCCAAAAGTGGCAAAGTCCTGGGATGAGGGACTCGGTGGGACAAGTGTCAGCTATGTGTAGTGGCGGTCCTGTCATGGGGTGAGTGTCCCCAACCACTTGGTCTGAAGTGGGAAATTGGGTTATCATTAAAGGGGAGGAACTATGGTACTTACCTGAAGTGGGAAATTGAGAAGAAGGCTGCTTCTTCTGTTCCCACCCCAGGCGCTATTATATACATGCAGTTAAGGTCACATGGAGGGAGCCACATCATCTCCACACACAGCCACACCTCTCTGGGTGCCTCCATGGGAGATCCCAGAGGTGTGCTGCTGTGTGGGTGGAGATGTGCATGGTGGGTGTGGTGATTGGGGAGTGGCATTAGGTGTGTAGTGATACATAGAGAAAAGGGAAGGACTGCAGAACAGAAGTAGAGAGAAGGAAGAAAGAGGAAAGGAGGAGGGAACGGGGGGTGATAGTGGGGGGAGTGGAGTAGGGCAGGGTGGTGTGGGATGCAGTGCAGGGTCAGGTGGGGTATGCCCTGACACTGCAGAACACATGATTACTCACCCTGACCAGGTGAGCTTCAATGAATGGTTCTTGAACACCCTCCCACCAACTTGGAAGGAGGAACTTGTTCTGCATGATCATATTACAGTCGATTTTTCTACCCATGATGAACTATGGGCTGCCATTTGCATGTTGACAGCACATATGACTCTATGCATGCTAGCATACAAAGGAGGATTCTCCTCCTTGTTGTCTAGTCATCTGAACTTGAAGCTGAGCTTGAGTTCAAAAACTAGTAACACAAGCATCGCAAAGGGAGCGATGTTGTGGGGACAAGTCCATGCACCGCAAAAAGTCAGATTCTGCAGAATTTCCCCACCAACACACACCACATACCTGCCGATGCTTCCATTGCTCATTCCCACACTATCCAACACTCCATACACCCATTCCCTATTTTTCCATATTTTCCCCATCATTCCCGACAGTCCCAAGCCAAATTCCCATGCCCAACCACACCGCCAATTTCACCCCCTCTCCAGACCTCCATAACCACACATTAAACCCAGCCATTTTTCTACCCGTTGGTGATGCCCTACCTTCCTCCTTTATCCACGGAGCATTTCCCAGAATGGCAATCCCCTACTTGGATGGTTCAGCACAGTGTAGGGCCTCATGTGGTCTTGACAGCACCTGTTAATGGCCATATCTTGGGAACTACTGCACCAATTGGGACAAATGAGGGTTTGTTGGAAAGCTGGAGACGAGGAGGTTGCTGACGGGAGGATAGGCGGGCGCTTTGGCGAAGTGTTGCGGAGTTAACTTTTTACAATTTCCATTTTGGACCCGTTGTCACAACTTCCCCATTCATTCATATTTCTTTTATTGTTTCTCTGTTCCTAATTGGACATTCCATATTTACGGTTGCCTAATGGCCCGTTTACATTTCCCCATTCCATTCATTCCATTTCCAATCCATATAAAATAGAAAATAGCTTGTACATAACAAGTTAGCACTGAATAGACCCATGCAGAAGTTACATCCAAGTGGCAAAGATGCCATCCATGACCCTAACGCCCCCCCCCCTTGAGCTTGTTGCTAACATCTAAGACCCCTCCACTCATAACCCTCAGCCTTGACGTCCAAGAGAGATGTAGGTGAGTGTTTAGTTGAGGTTCTAGCAGACCCAGTAGCGCCCCAGGACCAAAAACCTGGACCTCCCACCACATACACAATCACTACCACCCTCCCCCTTTTCTCTGTCTTGAGTCTAGGTGATAGACCCATTACAGCGACAAATAAAGATTCAACTGGTGCTGCCACTCATGGGTACACTCAAACCACCCCTTCATACATTAAGAAGGGAATGGTGACAAAGAAACCAGCAGTGGTTTCAACAAATAAAGGTGCAACAAGCACCTCAATCACTAATGTGAACCAGAACTCCATGAGTTCTTGTTATGGGAATGGACCTAGAATCTTATGGTCCGTGACTATAGACATAAACCTTAGCCCCTCCAACTTTATTTCTTTGTCAAACCCCATGCCAAGCTTTCCCACTGGGTTTTGGTGCTGGCTGGGGGATTTGTTGAGTTTCAAGGGACTTCCTTTGACCATTGTGATTTTTATATTAGATAGTTAGAAGTCATATGATGTATAAGGCAGATGCCGGAATTGTTCTCTTTATCAAACATACAATCTGTCATATCCATCCCTGGCCATCGACTTCCGATCCCTCTGATCCCTCCAGTCTACCCCCGCTCCTTCTCCACTAACCTCGGAGCTCCCGTATTCCACAACTCCCTTGGTACCCCTCGATGGTCACCACCCCCTCCTTTCAATTTATTACCTATGCCTCCCTAAGTACGGAGCCCCGAAGGCTTCCGGACAGCTCCGACGTCCGCTAGCGCACCCCCACCTCTGCTGGACAATACACTCGCTTGCCCTGCAAAGCCCACCTTCGGGCCTATCCCTCCTTTCCGTTTCTGGGTTATTGCCTGCCTTTCCGCTAACCCCGTAACTGTCACGACCCAACATATCCGTCACTTCCCTCTATGCGCCCTAGTGCCACTTGGTCCGTCCCTCCCGCTATCATCATCATCCGTCCACCCATCCGTCCACCCGTCACCCTCATCCGCACTTCCTCCCTCGCGTGCGTACCCTCCAACCTAGGTTGCCCACTTCATTGTTGTCTGCCCCCAGCCGGACGGCTTGCTAGACGGCCGGATGGCCTTTTCTCTTTTGTCCACTTACGGACTATTGTTCTTTCCTTTTGTTCCTTGCTTGCCTTTTGTTGATCAAGTTTGCCGACATTAACTATTTGTTCCTTTCTTCATTCATTAATATCGCGCTTGATCCGCCACTCCTTCCGGGCCGGTCTCATTTAGTTGCTTGTGTTTATAACGCGTGTAGGTTACACCGGATGTACCTCAGTTTGTATATTGACTTGGATTCCCCCTCTAAACTCTTATCCTCATCGTAAGGCTTCTGTCTGAAATTGGGACACCAACGTAAGAACGAAGCGCAGCGCTCCACCCGAGTCACTGAAGCTAAAGTCCCGCCCCTCCGACCTTACGAGCCCGGACGACCTCGCACGCCTCACGGGTCACCCGGATACGCTTCTGGCACGTTCCTGACAGTAACCCGACTCATCGGTAATATTCAATCAGCTAATGTCTAACCCCGTTAGCTCCGCTCCGCCATTTGCGGACCTGCCCTCGCTGTAACTATATATACTTAACTTGTACATAGGTTACACTCCAGTAATAAAATCAACTAGAGTTTACCCTCTTCAGTTCTGGTGGCCAGTTAGTAAGTTAGGGCACGGACATGTTTACTAGGCACAGCGCTCCTGGCATAAGTTGCTGAGGCTGAAGCCCTCCATCATGGAGACACTCCGTCTCGACCTGGTCTCTGACACAATCTCAGACTATCACCCAGTGATTGTAACTGTCACCCCAGTGTGCCACCACCTGTAAACCTTCCCTGTAACATCTGACTTGGTCAATATTGATGTCTACATCAATATTCTTACAATCCATGAGGAAACCTCAATGACCTGGTGAGTGCTCAGACACCAGACCTCACCCTTCCTGCTTCCACCCCCCCACTGGGTGGTTGAGCTCCCTTTCCTACCCTTCCTGTAGTAACCTACCGGGTCCTACAGCCCTTCCTCCCTTCTTGGGAGGGGGGAGTGACTCAAGCAGCCCCAGGATGCTTGGCCACGTACCTGCGGGCCCAAATTCCCACGGTCACTCACTACCGTGCGCTAGTCAACCAACCCGCTTGTCCCAACAATTCACACTACCGGTACACTCCCCTGAGTGCCAAGTAACTGATAGTTGACCACTGGGCTGCTCCCTCAAGGAGTGCCAACTACCCACGCTACCGGTACACTCACATGAGTGCCAAGTCACTGCTAGCCAACTGTTAGGTGGCTCCCTCAAGGAGCCCCCATTATACCCGCTGCCGGTACGCTCCTCGGAGCACCAAGTTGCTGCTAGCATGTCACCACACCTGCTGCCTGTCAGAGACCAGGTTGAGACGAGGGAAAGTCTCCATGGTGGAGGGCTTCGGCCTCAGTGACTTATGCCAGGAGCGCTGTGCCAAGTAACACGTCTGTGCCCTAACTTACTAACTGGCAACCAGAACTGAAGGGGGTAAACTCTAGTCGATTTTATTACTGAAGTGTAACCTATGTACAAGTTGGGTATATATAGTTACAGCGAAGATGGGTCTGCAAATGGCGGAGCCGAGTGGAGCAGAGCTAATGGGGTTAAACATTAGCTGACTGAATATTACCGACGAGTCGGGTTACGGGGTTAACGGAAAGGCAGGTGATAACCCAGAAACGGAAAGGAGGGATAGGCCCGAAGGTAGGCTCTGCAGGGCAGGAGTGCGCTAGCAGACGTTGGAGCTGTCCGGAAGTCTTTGGGGCTCTGTACTTAGGGAGGCGTAGGTAATAAATTGAAAGGAGGGGGTGGTGATCATCGAGGGGTACCAAGGGGATTGCGGAATACGGGAGCTCCGAGGTTTAGTGAAGAAGGAGCGGAGGTAGACCAGAGGGATTGGAGGGACCAGAAGTCGATGGCCAGGGGTGGATATGACACTGCCAGTATGCTCCTCAGAGTGCCAAGTTACCGTTAGTACACCCGGCCTCAGATCTCCCCCTGCTCTCCCTTCAACAGCTATGCAGCCACCTCCGTCCATGAGCAGAATGGCTCAGGTTGGGTTCCCCGGAACCCATTCCTGTAACAGTTCTGGTTCAATTCGACACTGCAAGTGGGCTAGAGATCTAAGCCCCTAAATGCAAGCAAATTCGTGGGGAGGGAGTCTGGGATGTCCTAAGCTCGTCCTAGGTTGGGTCCGGGTGCTAACAAAACAAAAAAAATCACAAAACTCGCTAAGAATTATGTACCCCTGGTCCGTCTTGGACAATCGTCAGGGATTTCCTTATAATACTCAAGGAGTCAAGCTTAGAATTTCTCTCTTTTTCTTGGATCTCTCAGCGCTACAGTCTCTTGTAGTCAAAAAGGGAGGTCTCTTTTCCATTCCTACATGTACAAAGCTTTTAAACACATGGAACAGCAATAATGTGGAAAAACAAATGAAAAGGAAAAATACAAAACAAAGGATTGTTGTTACAGACACCATGTGGACCATTAAGTATGGCCGATAAGTCCAACAGCTGACATGGAAGTTCAATAAAAAAAAGACAGGAGTGATAAGTGGGCCATATCTGCTAATAATTGCCATTCTCCACCAATTTCCACCATCACACTACACTCATCCATCTCTTCCTACCCATAGCATCCTTTCCCAACCTCTCCATTCGATTCCCCAGGTTTGTAGCTTTCTCCTGATACTAAATTTGTCCCAAATGGTTGAGATTTGACTGAGTGGTGGGTGTGAGAATCGTAAAATTGGCCTGTGCGCAGGGTTAGACGTCCCAAAAAGTGTTTGCGAGAGTCCCCATGTCAATTGGATCTTCATATGCATCCTTTGTGATTTTCCTGAATTTTTCTGAGCACTCCAGAGTGCATTTTGGTTGTTTGTTTGCTTCCATATGGCTTGTGATTTCCATATTGGGCTGAAAACCAGTTTCGCAATCTCCCAAAGTACGGATCTCGGCTCTGCCACATGGGACTTTTGACACTGCCACCCTCATGTGCCTTTCGATATTGTGTGGAACCTTGCAGTAAGATGAGAAATCACCACCACCATTGTTCCACAACGGCTGGGTTGATCTGGACGAAATTCGGGGAATCCATAGTTATGATTTCTCTCTATTTTTTGAGCCCTTGATCGTCTTCTGGCAGCAAGTAGCGCCAAGCGTAGTTTTTGGGCTGAACCAATTCAGTACCAGCACGTTATGCGCAATTGTACCCCATAATAAATGAAATAAAATGTTCTTATGCACCATTGGCATTGGTAGGTGATCATTGCATATGGGAAATCCTTAAGGAACGTAAAACCACGAAAATACTGGTGGTGTAGGGTATAGTAGGTTATCCTGCCTACAACGCCCTTTGAAGGACATGAAGGGTAACCCTCTATGCTACAAGTGTGGCAAGACAGGGTACTCATTTGAGTGCCCAAACCACCCAACCAGGGCCCAGGTATTTGCCCTGGGAATAGAGGAGGAGCCCGCAGAGGTGGATCCTGAACCTGTTGACATTGAAGCTGATGATGAAGCTCTACATGAAAATGACAACATGTCAGGGCACACCCGCCTGACCCACCTCCACCCGGGCCCACCTCACCCGGTTCCCCTTCTCCCACCCTGCACCCCTCCTTCATACCCCTTCCCCCTCTATCCCTCTCCCACTTCCACTCCTATTTCCATTTCTATTTCTATTTCTATTTCTACTTCACACGGACGACCTTTCCCTTATATCCATGTATTATTGACCCGCCCGCGACGCACACACGACGTGCCTAGCCCCGGACAACCCCGGACAGCTCTAGGGTGCAACCTAGTGCACGCGCGTGCAGCATACACCCTCGGGATCCCCCACGGGGACACCCGGGTGACTGCGGCTGTATGCGGGGTGACGTGGCGGACCTCATGTGACCCAAGCCGCATGTATATAAACACACCTGGGGTGGGAACCGAAGAAGTAACCTTCTTCTCAACATTCCCACTTCAGGTAAGTAGCATAGTTCCCCTTTTAATAACAACTCAACATTCCCACTTCAGTCTAAGTGGCCAGGGATTGCCGTCCCACATCGGGGCTGCCAGTACGCACGCCCGATCCACCCCCCGTGAGGTCCTCAGCACCGGACGCTACGCCCGGACCACCTCGACCGCGGACGCGACCCTGACACAACACTGGGGTTGTCGACGTTGTCAACAAGGACGAAGAAGAAGACCGCTTTGTTGAAGACCCATACCTGCCAGACCAGCCTGTGGAGCTGGAGAGCGAACCCAAAGATAATGTCATCTTCAGGCATGCAGGACTTTGAGGGTTGAGCTTCGTCAACCCATCTGAGAGCAACTACACTCTCATATTAGCTTCAGCCCAAAGCTCCTCTCTGAGGAGCGAATCATTGCTGAACTGGTTGATGAACCAGTCCTTGCTTTCAAGATGGAGGGACAGTTGCCCCTCCAAAAGCCAGAACCTAACACGGTTCCAACAATGGTTACAAAGAAAGTGCTGCCCATGTTCGATGCAAAGCTAAGGTTTTCACAAGAGGTGGGAAAATACCCCACTGAAAGAAGTGCTGACTTACATTGCAAGTGGGAATCTGCTACGGTCTCCAGAAAATGGAAGGTAGCACTCCAACTCACTCCCCAAAGAGCTAGGGAAGAAAGAAAAGGGGCTTAAAGGGTGTTGTGGTAGAACAGGTTCATATATTCAATGGGGAGGGGATTTCGGGAAAAATTACTGGTAACTCTTGTTTATCTTCTTTCCATGGTGGATTTTCCTAAAGGTCACAATAGCCCTTTACCAATCATGTGGCCACTCACAACACCCAAGTACATGGACTTCAAAAGTAGTGGGAGGGGGGAAATCTCTGTTTCGGTGTCAATTGCTATGTACATATACTCATACTGCAAATATACAAATAGTGGAAAAGACTCTGAAATATATGGTTCGGCTAAGCCAAGCCTTCACCAATAATGGCAATAAGGCTCGGTTACTGTTGGCTTTGAATAAATTCCCATACAACAAAAGAAGAATGTTAAACACCAACTTCCCTATACCACTCCCAATATCGCGTCAAAACTCCGTCCCTTTATTTCATTCGACTCTCCTCATCCATAGCTTTCTAACGATACCGATTTTGTGAAATTTGGTGGAGATTTGACTGAGAACAGGAATTCTCAGATGCGGAATACATATCTTGGTTACACAGAGAAAAGTAATTCCAGCGTAAAATTGTGTCCAATAGACGATGGGATTTCCTCATAAAATCCAACTTTCTCTTGACTATGTCTATGTGATAAATCCCTGTTTCATCATGTATTTGACCAAAATCATGTCGTAAAATCTTGTCTTTCCGGAAATTTAATCAGTTTATCCTGACAAAGCCATGATAGTATTCGAAATATATCATCTTAATGTTGTGAGGAATCCCGACATTAATCGTGTATTCATCAAGGACTTTATCTAATTGTAGCTCAGCAAGCATGCTATATTACATCTGAGCAGAGAAGGTATGCAAGGATCGATGCAGGTGGATGTGGGAATGAGAAGAAGAACGTTCAAGTTTCTAGCAGTACAAGATGATGAAGGGTTAGCGGTGCAAGGGTATGGTACAAAGATGGTGAAGGGAGGGACTGTGGTACGAGGCGCAAACATCATGCTTCTTAGCATAGAAATAAGACAATCAGCAATGTGATGACAAATGATTGTTCTTACCTCCCCTCTGACCTGAACTCCTCAAGCTTGTGCATCTAGTTCTTGCTTGCGCATCCTGGCTCGTGCTCCTTAGGCTTGCATGCCCACCTCCGTGTTGTGGACTATTGCCATAAAGTGTGCCTATGTCAGAGTTGGGAATACTGTCAGAGTCGGACATGCTGTCAGAAGATGGACTGAAGATGGATGGGTTTCTGTCTGAGTCGGGGTCGGAGGTGTTGGCAGAAGTCTGTTGGAGCGCGCATGTGCAGGTATGTGGGTGGAAATATGCTGCGCATCTGGAAATGCTGTCCAAGGTTAGCAGAGTGGGATTGCAGCCTCAGCAACTCAAGTGGAGTGCTGTGCCCTGAGCTTGACGTTTGGGGGGAGATCCCTTATTTACAGATTGACACTTACAGCGGACTTCAGACAAGACTTGCGAGCAGAGTGGACCTGTAAGGGAAAACCCAAGGGGGACTTACCCACTTGCCGGGTCAGCGAGCTCATGAGAGAATCGCCTTATCGAGCATTGTGAAGTGGGTAGGTGAAGGGTGGAATTAGCGACAGCTACTGGAGAGTGGGAAAACCTTTGTGGGGGTGGCAGAGGTCCTAGGAGGTCTGTAGTAATATTGGGTAGATAGAAATATTAATAAACATTTAGGATGAGGATAAGAGGTATTGGAGATCAGAGGCAGAGGTGAACTGGAGGTGAACTGGAGGGTATGGCAGAGGTGTGGGGAGGATGGACCAGAGGTGGACCGGAGTGGTGGCAGAGTGGAGTGGAGGTGAGTGTTAGAACTGGGTGAGGACGGACAATTCTGGAGGGGAACTGGAGACTTAGCAAGGAGGGACCTTGGCCTCAGTGACTCAAGCGGAGCGCTGTGCCATTGCTGTTTGTCCATTTGGTCCTTAATTTCACAGTAGGCGAGCAGGAAGTCTCTAGGGGGCATTTCAGGTCGATTTTAGACTAAGGCCTAAAACGAGTATGTACAAGTGCCGATATATATAATGGGGAGGGCAAAGCACAAGGAAACGAAGGGGATCCGAATCGGAATGAAGGCGTCCAAACGGGAACTGGCTAGAACGGGAAGAAGCAGCAGTCCAAATAGGGATGAGGGGAAAACGCGAGAGATACATTACAAGTGGCGAAAGTGCCAAAGATTATCCATGGAGCTCGGAGGTTACAGAGGTTGCGGAGGTGGGGTTGAAAGTCCGAGGAATATTGGGAATGGTGTTTACATAGTATGAGGTCACCAATGCAATGGACTAAGGCTGAGGTGGAGTCAAAGTCCAAGGTAGGAGCTATGACGGAGGCTCGGAGCTGAGGTACGAGTGGTGTCCGAGTACAAAGTACGGGACAGTGGCAGGAGGTCATAACTTGGCAGGGGGTTGACGGAAGAGGGCCAGAGGGAAGAGAGAGGAAGGAGGAAGGAGGGAAGGTGTGGAGGAGAGGAGAGGTGTCAGGTCCGAAGGTGAGTATCAGAGCAGATGGGAGAAGAGTAGGAGGATGACGGAAGGGTGGAGGTGTTGTGGGGAGCAAGCGGAGGAGTGGGAGGAGGAGTAGTAGGAGGGTGGCGAGAGGGGTGGTGTTCGGTCCAAGGTGGGTATCAGAGCAGATGGAGATAGGACAGGAGAGGGACAGAGGAGTGGAGGTGGCATGGGAGGTGAGAGGAGGTGTGGTGCCAGGACCGAAGGTGAATATCGGAACGGACAGTGGTAGGGTAGGACTCCGGAGGTGGTGAAGGAGGAGGTCCGGGAGTCGGGTCAGGATCGGGTATACACAAATATGACAGTGAGGCAGAGTTGGTATGGATATGACAATGGGCCCAAACACAAAGAGACGACAGAAAGGAAGGACTGTGACTCTGGTAGTGGAATAAAGGTCCAGAAGTGGGAATCTTCTTACACTGGCCAAGAGGAGGCATCAGCAGAGAAATTTCGAGACAAGGTATGGGAGATGTGTCAGGGCATACCCACTCCACCTGGGCCCACCCAGGTCCACCTCCCCCTTCTCTCATTCCCTGTCCTTCCTTCCTGCTCTTCCCCCTTCCTACCTCCCTTCTATTGCTGTTTCTGTTTCTATTTCCGTTTCTATCTCTATTCCTATTTCTATCTTACATGGATGACTTCCCTTTATATCTATGTATTACTGACATGCCCGCGACATGCACACGACATGCCCAGCCCTGGATGCCCCAGACGGCTCTAGGGTGCAACCTAGTACGCTTGCATGCAGCATACACCCTCGGGATCCCCCATGGGGACACCCAGGTGACTGCAGCTGTATGGGGGTGATGTGGCAGACCTCATGTGACTTGAGCTGCATGTATATAAACACACCTGGGGTGGGAAACAAAGAACTGACCTTCTTCTCAACATTCCCACTTCAGTCTAAGTGGCCAGGGACCACTGTCCCACATTGGGCCCGCCAGTACACATGCCCGATCTACCCCCCATGAGGTCCTCAGCACCGGACGCTACACCTGGACCGCCTGGACCCCAGACACATCCCTGACAAGATGGCCAAGGGAGCAGAGATCTATGAGGATGAGGATGCAGTGGAGCTCCTCCCTTCAAGACTTTATTACGAGCCCTCTGAAAGCACAGATTGGAAACAACATCAGGGCAGGTGGATTAGTAGGCCACATCTGGAGGAAGGGGGAGTCCAAGATGAGAGGACCCCCATTGACATGATACAAGAAGATTTTGAATGGTAAAAAGCAGATGTTGGGAAGAGAAAGGCTGACAAGCTCAGGACCATGGAGAAAAACAAGATTAAGAGGGCTCTTGAGTGCCCCACCCATTTGCCTCTCATCGCTGCGGACTATAAAGTCGTGGATTTGATTACCTGCACCACTGAACGAGTCCAAGAGTTCAAAGATTTAAGGAAACAGACTGTAACCCTTCATGACCAACATCTCAAAATCATTTATGAAGACTTGTGTCAGGGCACACCTGCCTGACCTGGGTCCCACCTGGACCCACCCAGCCATACCTCACTCACTGCCCCGCTGCCCATCCCTCTCCTTCCTCCCTTCTCCCTCTTCCCTTCTTTCTTTTCTCTCTTTCTTCTCTTTTCTTTATTTCATTCTTCTCATCATTCTCTTCCTGTTTATTCCTTCTATCTACATGGACCACTTTCCTTTGTATCAATGTGCTATTGACCCATCCAGCCCAGACATCCTGGACAGCTTCCCAGCATGTGTGCATGCAGTGGACACTCTTGGGATCCCCCATGGGGACACCCAGATGGCCACAGCTGTCTTGTTACAGGAATGGGTTCTGGGGAACCCAACCTGAACCATTCGGCTCACTAATGGAGGTGGCTGCATAGCCATCGGAGGGAGAGCGGAATGGGATGAGTGTCTGGAAGTACAACCTGTGGGTTGGCCAACGGTAACTTGGCACTCCTGGGAGCATGCTGGTAGTGGGTGTGCTGGGAGTGGTCAGCTAGCGGTGACTTGGCACTCAATGGAGTGTACCGGTAGTGCGGGATACTGGGACTCCCAAAGGAAGTCACCCAGTTGGTGGCTATCGGTGACTTGGTGCTCACAGGAGCATACTGGTAGCAGGAGTTGTTGGGGAAAGCGGGCTGGTGGACCAGTGCACGGTAGTGGGTGACCGTGGGAAGTGGGACCTGTGGGTGCATGGCCAGGCATCCTGGAGCTGCCTGGACCATATCCCTCTCCTAAGGAGGTGGGATAGGTTACAGTTCCTGATAGGGAACTTCTGGTTGGATGGGAGTGACCGGTGGACTGGTGGGAGCAGGCAGCAGGAGGTTGGGCATGGGAATGCCCTCCTCATTGCGGTTTTGTCATGGAGAGGATGAATAGGGAGGTGGACATGGTTCCAGGGGTACAGGTTGAGTTTACAGTGGTGGCACAATGGTGAGGATGTTACAATCATGGTACAAGGTTTGTGGGTTATGTATTCGATAATGAGAACAATTCCAGCATCTGCCTTATACATCATATGACTTCTAACTATCTAATATAAAAATCACAATGGTCAAGGGAAGTCCCTTGAAACTCAACAAATCCCCCAGCCAGCACCAAAACCCAGTGGTGTCATATCCATCCACGGCCATCGACTTCCACCGCCTCCGATCCCTCTGGACTATCTCCACTCCTTCTTCACTAACCTTGGAGCTCCCATATTCTGCAATCACCTCCGCATCCCTCGATGGTCACCACCCCCTCTTTTCAATTTATTACCTACACCTCCCTAAGTACGGAGCCCCAAAGGCTTCTGGACAGCTCCGACATCCGCTAGCACACTCCCGCCTCCACTGGGCAATACACTTGCTTGCCCTGCAAGCCCACCTTCAGGCCTATCCCTCCTTTCTGTTTCTGGGTTATCGCCTACCATTCCGCTAACCCCATAACCTGACTTGTCGGTAATATTCAATCAGCTAATGTTTAACTCCGTTAGCTCCGCTCCGCTTGGCCCCGCCATTTACGGGCCCACCCTCGTTGTAACTATATATACTTAACTTGTACATAGGTTACACCTCAGTAATAAAATTGACTAGAGTTTACCACCTTTAGTTCTCGTTGCCAGTAAGTAAGTTAGGGCACGGACATGTAACTTGGCACAGCGCTCCTGGCATAAGTCGCTGAGGCTGAAGCCCTCCACCATGGAGACATTCCTTTGTCTCGATCCGGTCTCTGACAAGTGGGAAAGCTTGGCATGGGGTTTGACAGAGAATTAAAGTTGGAGGGGCTAAGGTTTGATTGTCTATAGTCACAGACCATAAGATTCTAGGCCCATTCCCATAACATGTCTCCAAGGATGACGTTGTAACGGGTCTATCACCACTTGACTCGAGACAGAAGAGAGGGGGAGGGTTGGAGTGGTCGCTTGCACAGGTTCGTTTACTGGGTGTGGATTCCACTACTCCTCACTGTCTAGCTAACTATACAGCTGGTCACGGTATCACGGAAGAGTCCGGTAATGACAAATAAGGAAAGAACAATAAGAAGGGGAAACATCAGGTGGAAATGGAGTCAGAAAAATCAGGGAAAATAAGAAATGTGCAGGAGAGAACATTGGCTAAGGGCGGTAGAATCGCGGGATTTGGCTTGTTTATGGTACACCAGCAAATCCCCGTTACAACGTGGCACTCATCATGTGACTCAAGCCGCATGTACATAAATGTACCTGAAGTGGGAACCGAAGAAGTAACCTTCTTCTCACCTTTTCCACTTCAGTCTGAGTGGCCAGGGGCTGCTGTCCCTTTCCGGACCTGCCAGTATGCATGCCTGGTTCACACCCCGTGAGGGCCCCTCTGCCAGGCACTACATCCAGACCCCCTCTACCCTGGACATGTCCCTGACAACTTGGTCAACCAAGAGGCATTGATTCATCATGTCCATGATCAAATTTCTATACTCTTGGGGGCACTTAAAGGGATGGCCACTAAAATTCAAACCACCTATGATGAAGCAAGGGTCTGTGAAGAGAAGGTGGTGGACACAGCAAGAGCAACAGAAGTGATGTTTAGGGCAACCCATGAGAACTTGATTTTGGATGATGATTATTACCTCGTCGTCTCCGAATGTGTTCATGCTATGAAGAACAGGTTCTTGGAGAGGTATGCTTCCACGGACCAAAGGATTAAAAGTTTCATTGGGAATTCTTGAGCATTCTGGGATGCTTGGGGGGAGCTGGCACCTTTACCAAGGTCACCCTATATGACACATTACACAGACCATATGTTACAGATGGAGCAGGAACGGGAAATGGGATTGGCAACTCTAGTAAAAGGGGAATTCAAGAAGAAGTTGGGAAAAATGGTCAAGGAGCAGGAGAAGATAAGGGCAGAGCTCAAGGAGAGAGTAGTGGCTCAAGGTGCATTGGTGCACAAGGTAGTTGAGGAATCCAAGTTAACAGATTTGGTATCGGAGGAAGCTGTTAGACACTGATCCAGGGTCGGCACCGAAGGTCGCCGTTGCGGGCCGCTATAGGCTGCGATGGCTGCAATGCCTCAAACAAGGCCCGAGGGTAGGGCATTTGGCCTCAGCAACTCTAAAGGGAGTGCTGTGCCCCCTAGCTGTCTCTTGGCCCTCATTTCAGACTTACTGGGGTTGCCTTGTTGGGGTCAGGACTTAGGGGTCGTGGTCACATCGATATTAGAGCTAAGGTACTATAATGTAGTATACAGGATATATATATGAAGATAGAATGAATAGAAGTGGACCTGGGCCGAAGGCCGAAGGGTCCGGAAGCAAATAGGAACAAAGAGCGGGGTTGGCCGCACAGCGGCCAGCAATGGCCGAGGGTCAAAACAAACAATAACAGATAAATAAACGAAGGGGTGTAGGGCCGTGATAGCGGAGTAGGCGATGTTGCGGAGTCATGCTAGGTCGGTGCCAGAGGTGGACTCGGGGCAGGGAGGTCGGTGTGGCTGTGGGGAAGTCGGCCAAGTGTAGGGGAGCCTAGGGGCAAGTGGGGGAGTGAGCAGGGAGCCCTCAGGGAGGATAGGGCTGAGGTCAGGGCTCGCACTTGCACTTGCACTTGCACTCGCACAGTGGGAATAGGCTTGGGCGGCATCAGGACAGGCAGCTAATGGGCCGGAATGCATGGCCGTGACAGAAGCTTCTACTTCCAAGGTGCCTGTGCCAAAGAAGAAGAAACTTGTTTTGAAAGATCAGGAAGCCAAAAAGTCGCCTAACTTCAGGAAGAGGAAGAGGGTGAAGGCTTAGCCGAAGAGTCTGAGATCTTAACAAATTGTACAAATAGGATGAGGACAGGGATTCATTGCAACCGGGATATATTTATGGGAGGGGAATGCTGTGTTAGGAAGTGTAGTATTTGGAATGTGGAATTTGTGATCTCTTGAGGGACCACAATGAAGAGCTAGCTAGGCCTGTATGTAGGAGTGCATAATAGGTGTGCTCAATTTCATGGAACCTTACGCAGCAAATACGTCAAAATTGGGCACTCACCCTGTACATTATTAGGAAAAAGGAATTATAGGGGGAAATAATAAGAAAGAAGAAAGAGGGTTTTCGTACGAACCGAAAGAGCCTTTCCGCAAAGGAATTGGTTGAGATTTGGTGGAGAAATTCAACCTGAGATGTCCTCATGTACAAAGTCCATGCACTTGACCATGTCCATGAGAGCAAGGTCAAAAGTTGTCGAAAGAGGACGATCTTGGGGGGTCATTAAATCCAGAAAAATGCACAAAGGCTCAGTGTTGAATTTCACCCTAATTGGTTGAGTGGTTGAGGAGATATTTTGATTATTGGGCATGATGGGAGTCACAGGACGATATGAACTATGCGGATGCTCACATGCAAGCTAGTCTCAGTGAAATTCCAAGAGAATATGGGCTAGTTAAATGATATAAATGCTAAAGTCATTGGAGGAGTCTTGGAATTATGGCATTTTATTTGGTTCAATTTTCCCTGTGCACAGATAACCACTGAGAAAAATAATTCCAGTATTTTGCACATAATGGGGCAGGATTTCATGAAAAATCCTCCTCCACAGTAGGATTTTTGTGAATAGGATTTTCTCAGTTATCATGTCATTTCATGGAGGGTGCCAGATGCTGAGAAAGCAAGATTTTATCTTACACAGACTCAGACATGTCATACCATGAGCACTTATATGTGAGAGCCAAATGTGATTTGTCTTCAGTATCTACACCTGCACCAAGCTTTCAAACATGGAAATAATCGATTCCACCTAAGCATGCATCTGCAGAGTTGCACAAGTTGCTCCTTGTTAAAGGTCAACTTGCTGGACTGCATCTGCAGTTAGTGAGTCATCTGTAAAGACAGTGTGAGCCCAGGAACCGCTTCAATCAACTATCACCCACTGAGGATCTGTAGTACCAGTTTGAATGTGCCCAACGACTGCACAGATTGCAGCTAAGTCCACAATTTCGATGTACAATGTCATGGTCTTGAAATAAGTCAGCCTCAGTGTTGCAAGTGGTCAAGATGCCTAAAAGAACAGTTTCAGGCTTGGTATTTTTGGATATCAGGTTTGGTGGGGGGGTGCACTGAAGGATATACTCGGGATGCCTGTAGTAGATGGTATGGACAAAATCTTCTTTGGCTTGTGGACAGTGGGCATTTGAGTCAGTGTTTAGCTCATACTTTCAAGCAAAATAGTGCCTTGAGTTCTGTGAACTAAAATTGTGGCCACTCACACAGACAAAAGACACGTTGTGGAGACCCTGCTTGCTGCTCATCTGTGCAATGCTCCCTCAAATAAGATCACCTCCATTTCCAATGCAAACTTTTGCCCAGCGTTCATCAGCAAAATGTCATATCCATCCCTGGCCATTGACTTCCGATCCCTCCGATCCCTCTGGTCTACCCCCGCTCCTTCTCCACTAACCTCGGAGCTCCCGTATTCTGCAACTCCCTTGGTACCCCTCAATGGTCACCACCCCCTCCTTTCAATTTATTACCTACGCCTCCCTAAGCACGGAGCCCCGAAGACTTCCAGACAGCTCCGACGTCTGTTAGAACATGCGGATTCGGACGACTCCGGAATGGAATCGGAGACTTAGCATGGAAGGACCTTGGCCTCAGCGACTCAGGTGGAGCGCTGTGCCATTGCTGGTTGTCCTAGGGGTCCCTAATTTCGGATCTAGCAGAGGGAAAGTCTCTTGGGGGAATTCATGTCGATTTCAGACTGAGGTTACAAGTTACTAGGTACATTGTATATAAGGAGGGGTCCAGAATCAAAAGGAACAAGGGTAGGACAAAAGGAGACAAAGGGAGATGGAAAGAGGAACAACACCGAGGGTCAAGTGTTTGACTCAATGGTGTTTCCCAAGGGAGGAATGAAGGGCCAAGGCCCAAGAAGGAAGGAAGGAGGAAGGGAGTCGGGAATGGCTAGCTGACTGAATAGAAAGGAAGCAGCAGCCCAAATAGGAATGAGGGAGAATAGCGGAATTGAAATGGACAATGCAATAGTTGCAAGGTCCGGAGTAAGTCCGGAAAGTCCGAACTCGGAGGTTAAACTCCGGAATATTGGCAAAGGTAATTAAATGGAATGAGCTAACCAATACAATGGGTATAAGCGGAGGTGGGGTCAAAGTCCGAGGTCGGAGCTAAGACCGGAGGTTCCGGAGACGAGACATGAACGGGATACCGGAGCGGAGGTCCGGAGTCGGGAGCATAGGTTTTGCATACTCATCTGGAAGGTGTCGAGGTTGGGGTCGGACCCGGAATGTTCCGGAGTCGGACCGAAGGTGGTGTTGGAGCCGGAGGTGGGATAACCTCTTGGGAGTCAGCAAGGAGAAAGTGACGGAAGGGAAGTAGGGCTCCGGAAGTCGGAGTTCGGAGTTCCAGGAGCCCGGAGCGGAGGTCGGGATTGTATGGATATGACAACGTCCGCTAGCGCACTCCCGCCTCTGTTGGGCAATACACTCGCCTGCCCTGCAGAGCCTACCTTCAGGCCTATCCCTCCTTTCCATTTCTGGGTTATCGCCTGCCTTTCCGTTAACCCCGTAACCCAACTCGTCGGTAATATTCAGTCGGCTAATGTTTAACCCTGTTAGCTCCGCTCCGTTCGGCTCTGCCATTTGTGGACCCACCCTTGTTGTAACTATATATACTACACTTGTACATAGGTTACACTTCAGTAATAAAATCGACTAGAGTTTACCCTCTTCAGTTCTGGTGGCCAGTTAGTAAGTTAGGGCACGGATGTGTTTACTAGGCACAGCGCTCCTGGCATAAGTCGCTGAGGCCGAAGCCCTCCGTCACGGAGACACTCCTTTGTCTCGACCCGGTCTCTGACACAAAAGTCCATTATGCTCCAGAGCATCAAGAGTGGCTGGAGCATGTGGGAGACAAAACAGCAGATTGGGCACTCCTGGAGCCAATAGTGTTCTCCTGGGAGGGGGTTCAGGAGCAGCTGGGAGTGGTGAGGAGTATGCAATGTGCCAGGAGCAGTGGGAGGAAAGTTTTGGTCTTTAAAAAGTTGAAAAAAAAAATTTAGGGAAAAAATCAAAAAAAATTCAGGAATTATAGTGCCTTTAAAGTGCTTTCAGGACATATAATTATTTGCGAAATTGAGGAAGAAATGATGGAGAAAAATGGAAAATACTTTCGGAGACCCGAGAAATAATGAGAACTGAATTGATGGGAAAGTCTGGAAATTGAATAGGAAAGTGAGGGAAAGCCTTGTAGCATTGTTATTTTCTGCTGTTCTGATTTTTCCTGATTGTTCTTGGTCTCACTCCCAGCTGCTCCTGGACCCTCCCAGGAGCTTTCAGGAGTATTGAGGAGCAGCTGGGAATGAGACCAAGAAGAATTGGGAAAAATCAGAACAGCAGAAAATAACAATGCTACAAGGCTTCCCCTCACTTTCCTATTCAGTTTCCAGACTTTCCCATCAATTCAGTTCTCATTATTTCTCGGGTCTCCAAAAGTATTTTCCATTTTTCTCCATCATTTCTTCCTCAATTTCGCAAATAATTATATATCCTGAAAGCACTTCAAAGGCACTACAGTTCCTGAATTTTTTTTGATTTTTCCCCTAATTATTTTTTTTCAACTTTGTAGAAGTCCCTATTTTTCAAATTTTCCTCATTTCCCTCTATATTCCCCCCTCATTCCCCCCCTCATTCCCCCCCTCACTCTCCCCCTCATTTCCCCCTCATTCCCCCCTCGTCCTCCCCCATTCCCCCCCCCCCATTTCCCCCTCCATATTCTGCAAGCCTGAAAGTGATTAAGTTGCCAGATTAATCATATATCAGGCCATAAATTTTGATTGTATATTGGTGAGTCTCAGTGTCCTTGATATATAGTATAGTGTTTGATCTATGTGTTAAGCAGTGTCTTGTTGTGTTAGTCTTGTGGTAGGAGGTATTCATGGGAATCTTCCCTCTTTTTTTTTTTCCTTTTCATTTTCAAATGCTCCAGGAGCTCCCAGAAGCTTCTCACCCCTATAGACT